ATGTCTGAGAAGGTCGGCTTTACCACTGCAGCTTCTCCCACAGACTGAACATGTATGCGGAGTTTTTCCAGCCTGGTCTCTTTCATGGTTGGTGAGATTGAAGCTTTTCCCATAGAACGCACACATTTAATGCATTTTTCTTGTGTGTGAATGCTTTCCTGTGAAATCAAGTTAGTTCTCTCACTCCTGCCTTTCCCACGCATGGAGCATTTATAAAGTATCCCTCCTGTAAGTTTTCCCTTGGATATGAGACTTTTTGGGACTAAGAAGATTGGATCTTTGGTTCAAGCATTTCCCACATGCTGAGCATGTGTGCAATTTTTCTTCCTTATGGCCTCTCCTGTGGACAGCCAGGTGATTTTTCCAGCTAGAACCATTCCCACAGACTGAGCACGTGTATGGTTTTTCTCCTGTATGGTTTCCCTTATGTCTCAAATTTTTATGACAGAAGCCTTTCCTCTTAAATTGAGCATTTATAGGGCATTTCCACTTTATGAATTCTTCTGTGCTGGAGAAGACCCGAGGACAAGGTAAACCTCTTGCCACAGGTGGGTCAAAGGTACCTTTTCCAGAGGAATTTGCTCATGTCTAAGCATATAAGCTTGGTTACTGAAGCATTTTGTGCACATGGACCACAAGTATGGTTTTACTCCTCTGTGAGGGAACTCACTGTGAAGTAAAGGCCAACACTCTGTGAAAAGCACATGGAGCATTGATACGGTTTTTCTCCTGTATGTATCCTTTCGTGACTGATGAGTGTTTTACGACTCATTTTTTTTTTACCTCAGACTGAACAAGCAAATGGATTTTTTTCCTCATTCCTTTCATGTTTAATAAGGTGGGATCTTTCACTGGAACATTTTTAGCAGGTTGAAAATATATATGGTTTTCCACCTGTATGGTTGGTTTAACATAAAGTTTAATGAGATGTGATTTTTGAAAGATTTCCCCCCCACACAGATTAAGCATGTATAGAATTTGTCTCTTGTATGGATATTTTTCCCATGGTTCATTAAATGGCCAGTTGTCTTCTTGTCATCTTAAGTAAAAGACTTGCGAAAAGTAATGCACAAATATCAAACAGTCCATTCCTGCAGCTTCGGTGACTTTTGTGACCATTGAAGTTTTCAGGAATTTAATGTATCTTTTTTAAATTGCAAAGTGTACCACACACCCCTCCCTTTGAAACCACTTGGACACAGACATTTTAAAAACCCTAAAACCATAATTTAATTCTGATTTCTCCATTAGCCTCTATAAAAAAGTCACTTTAACAAAGTATAGTGACTGGGTTAATGCAATGTGCAAAGTTAGACAACCAGTAACTTTGTACATTAAATTAACCTAGTCACCAGCTATATTTTCTTGCAATTTTTTTAATGTACGGGTAGTCTTCAATTTAAGCCCAAAATTTCTGTTGCTAATCAGACAGTTGTTAAAGTGGGTTTTTTCCCCATTTCACCACCTTTCTTGCCACTGTTGTTAGGTGAATTTTTAAGTTAGTAACATGCTTAAATAAATCTGGCTTCCCCATTGACTTCGCTTGTTCAGAAGTTGCAAAAAATGATCCCAGGACATTGCAGCTGTCATTAAATATGAGTCAGTTGCCAAGTGTCTGAATTTTGATCACGTGATCTTGGGGAAATGCCGCAACAGTCATAAGTGTGAAAATGGTCATAAGTTACATTCAGTGCCGTTGTAACTTCAAACGGTCACTAAACGAACTTGTATGTTTCAGGACTACCTGTATATCGGTGTATATTTGGGAAGCCACATTTGGCTTGTTCACACAACATTCTGAGCCAGTGTTTTTCAACTTGGCAACTTTCAGCTGTGTGAACTTCCAACTCCCAGAATTCCCCAGCCACTGTGTTTTTGGGGAGTTGAAGTCCCAACAGTTGCAGAGTTTGAGAAACGAGCAAGAAGAAAAGATGCTTCTAGGATATTACTGGTCGACGGAGATGGTGGATTGACTGTTATTGATTAGGAAAGAAAAATATTTCTAATTCACTGCTTTACTATCTATAAAAAAGCCCGACGGACACGTGGGGAAGGCTGCTTGTAACAACTAGATTCCAGATCTGTCTTTCTGTAAGCGACCATAATTACTGAATTTAGAAGCCATGGTTTTCTAACAGACTGGTCTTAGCTAAAAACGACTACAGACCTTTAAATATGCATTGAAAAAGGACAGAGCCCTCAAATATTAAAACTAGCCTTACCCTTTCTGCCTCCCTGCGTGGCAGTCCACAGCACCCCAGAAAATTAGGTAAGATTTCAGTTGACCTCAAATTTCCACTTTTTCTGCAAACGTGGCTACAAATATTCAGACAATGCAGAACAGAACAACAGAATTGGAAAGGATCTTGGAGGTCTAGTGACAGGAAACACCACACCACTTCAGACAAATGGTTATCCAGTCTCCTTAAAAACTTCCAGTGTTGGACCAGTTACAACTTCTAGAGGCAAGCCCATTCCACTGGTTCATTGTTCTCACTGTCAGGAAATTTCTCCTGAATTCTAGGTTGCTTTTCTCCTTGATTAGTTTTCATCCATTGCTTCTTGTGCTGCCCTCAGGTGCTTTGGAGCAATAGTCTCCAACCTTAGCCACTTTAAAACTTGCATACTTCAACTCCCAATTGTCGAGTTGAAGTCCACTGCACTTCTACACATGGTCACGAGGTGGCAGCAATAACTTAAGATGTTACCTAGTTTGGATAATAGAATACTTTCTTTGGCCAAGCGTGGTTTAAGTTTCCAGTGCAGAAGCTCTCAGTGTATGCAAAGCAAATGAATAATGATAATACCAGTCAGAGGGGGGAGTAAAAAAGATAACAAAAATAATACTATAACCATGCTTTGTGGAATGAAACTCATGAAATTGGATCTCCAGCTTGAGGTTCGACTGCTGCATGCTTGCTATCGGCTGCCATAGTAATGGGGGGGGGGGATGGCATTTGGGTTGGGGAAGTAAGCTGTTGTGTTGCAGTCCCATTTGAACTGAAAGGGAGGTTTGCTGTCAAGAATTATTGTGCTGCTGAGTGGAGTTGTTTACACCCTGTCAAGTCCAACCGTCCTAGGACTGCAGATGGGCAAAATACAGAGGTGGTATTCAGCAGGTTCTGACCAGTTCTGAAGAACCAGTAGCGGAAATTTTTGAGTAGATCACAAAACCGACAAATACCACCTCTGACTGGCCCCGCCCCCATCTATTCTCTGCCTCCCGAGTCCCAGCTGATTGGCTGGGTCTCCTTTGGTTGCCCTGCACAGGAGAACAGAGCTGGAAAGCAGGTTAGTGGGGTGGGGAGGGAATGGGGATTTTTACAGTATCTTTCCCCTGCCACGCCCACCATGCCCACCAAGCCACACCCACAGAACTGGTAGTAAAAAAAATTGAATCCCACCACTGGCGAAATACCTGAAGATGAGCTTCACACATCATACTGGAGGTTGATTGAACCCTCAGGGCTGGATCCTGGGGTGCGGGGGAAGGATTTGGGGAAACTTTGAATCTGTCATCTTTAAACTACCAACATGTTTAGTCTCCCTTTTATTATATTCACAGCAGTAATCCAATATGTCTTGATTTCTGTCACCTGTATCTAACGCTTATCAACTCCACCATGATTCACTCTCGTCAGGGACAATTATCCCACAAAGCATTGAGTGGAAGGCTGAAGCACTATTATGATTAGAAGGAAAAACATTCTCAGACTCTTCCCATCCTGCTCACAATCTTTATGAACTGTTGCCTTCTGGCAGAAGATACGGAACAAAACTCGGACCATAAGTTTTCTGAACAGTTTTTATCCCAGAGCTATAATTGCACTTAACAATGAACTTAAGGACCACCATTACTGAGCTGCTGGACAGTATTACTTGGTCTGTTGTATGGATGCTTGTGTGTTTTTAGGAGGCGGGGAATTTTGGTGGGTGGGGAGGTGTTTGGAAATTGTCATGTGTGCATGTTGAGTCTGGTCTCTGGGTGTTATGTGAATTTCGTATGTGTATCGTGCATATACGTACAATGACAATAAAGAATTCAATTCAGTTCACACTCAACAAATGTTTCACTTAGAAAAAGAAATTTTGGGCTCAATTGTTACAAGTTGAGGACTACCTGTACTTCAAACTTTAAAAAATCTACTTGGAGTGACTTGGTGTAAGACACTTTATTACTAGTATCTTACTCCATTCTTGGTTGCCAAGATCTCCTTTTCTATAAAATGTTGCAAATGCATGGAATAAATGGACTCATTCCTTACGTGATGCAAAGCTGGAAAATAATAGGAAAATAATTTATTGTAGAATGAAAGAAATGTGGAAAGCTTTAATTCCTTTTCAGCCTGATATACTTTTATTAAAACTTTACCAAAACCTGTACTTCTTACTACCATACTAAACTGGGATTGTGTATGTTAATAGCTGCAAGAATTATATGTTATTCTATTGGAAAATATTTTTGATCCTCTGTGGCCTTTTTTGGGTAGCAGCAGGGGGCTTTATACAGTAGTTCAATTATTTAAAAACCCATCATGTTTTAATGCAACTTTAAGACTTGTGGACTTCAACTCCCAGAATTCTCCAGCCAGCATAACGAGTTGAAGTCCACAAGTCTTAAAGTTGCCAAGTTTGGAGACCTGTATTTTAATGACTAATGTGAATTTCCTTCAAAATGATAGAATTGATTTAGAATGATAGAATTGCCTTCAATGCAGTCCCACAGTCACAAAACACAAATGCAGTATGGTTGTTATTAAGGACACCAGTTCCCCTTTACCCGTTTTCCCTTCATTGGGTCAGCCTCTTTTCCCTCCAATTTCTGCAAGAGGCCCTCCTTTGAAGGAGGAAGCAGCCCCCTGCTAATACAGACTGCTAAGGAGGTCGACTCTGTATTTTATTTATTTATATATAAAAGTTATAGGCCGCCCATCTTACTTCAAGGTAACTCTGCGCAGATTGAAAAGCTTGAAACAAGCACGGACAGACTTAAGTTGGGAGATCTACTTTGGTTTTCTTTTTATTAGAAAAAAGAAAAATTGCAAAAGATTTACAAAGCAGGCTTAAACGAATTTGTTTCGAGTCCCAAATCGCTGTCCTTCCAATTCCTCGTTTGCTTTTCCTTCTTTCTTCTGAGACTACAGGGCCTGACAGAATTTTAGCTGGGATCTCTCCTTGGCAGGGAGAACACACGTATCCTGTGCTAACCTGGAACCCCAGCCGGTGGCTTTTCGGCAAGTCTCAACAGGGGTAGACTTTGTCTCCCATGTGCATCTTCTCGTGCCTGATGAGATGTGACTTCTGCCGGAAGGTTTTCCCGCAGACGCAGCATGCGTAGGGCTTCTCTCCCGTGTGCGTTCGCTCGTGTTGGCTGAGGCTGGACTTGAAGCAGAAACCTTTGCCGCACAACGGACACCTGTACGGTTTCTCGCCCGTGTGAATCCTTTGGTGTTTAATAAGCTTAGAACTCTCCTTGAAGGACTTCCCGCAGTCCGAGCAAATGTAGGGCTTCTCTTCCGAGTGGGACCTCTTGTGTTTGATGAGACTCGAACGGTTATTGAAACGCTTCCCACAAACCAAACACTTGAACGGTTTCTCCCCCGTGTGGATGATTTTGTGAGCCATCAGCCATGAGCTCTGGCTGAAGCACTTGCCGCACTCAGAACAGGCGTAGGGCTTCTCCCCTGTGTGGGTCCTCTCGTGCGCCAGGAGGTTGGCTTTGCGATTGAAGCTCTTCCCGCAGTCTGAGCACTGGTAAGGCTTCTCTCCCGTGTGAGTCCTCTCGTGCGTGATGATGTGGGAACTCTGGCTGAAGCTTTTCCCACACACAGAGCACTGGTAGGGTTTTTCTCCCGTGTGGGTCCTCTCATGTTTGACCAGGTAGGAACGCTGCTTGAAACTTTCCCCACAGAAGGAGCACTTGTAAGGCTTCTCTCTAACCGTGGATTTCTGGTCGTTAAAGGAGTCTGGGATGCTGCTCGCGCAGCCTGGGCCTTTGGCACAAAAGGACGCTGCTTCTACTGCCGCTTCAGAATGGCTCCCCTCCTCAACCATAGAGATCCCAGGAAACTCATACATGTTTTCCTCCAGCAAATCCCCATTGAATTCCATATAGTCAGGCCGCACCATCCAACAGGTTGACACTTCGGGCTCGGCCACTTCCCCGTTGCCTGCAGGAATAATAATAATAATAATAAATAAATAATAATAATAATAATAATAATAATAGAGGAGGAGGAGGAGGAGGAGGAAGAAGAGGAAGAGGAAGAAGAAGTAGTAGTAGTAGTACTGGTCAGCTGCAAAAGGCCACCTTACTGGGATCTGCTCGCATAATCCGCCGATACATCACGCAGTCCTAAACACTTGGGAAGTGTTCGACTAGTGATTTGTGATACGAAACCCAGCATAGTTATCTTGTTTGCTGTGTAGACTGTTGTTTTTTGTGTATAAATAATAATAATAAATAAAAAGCAGCCAATGGGTCACAGTAATATGAAAGGTGCCATATGCCGTTAGTTTGCTCGGTGGCTATTTCCAGGGATGGGCTGCGGGGGACTCACAGGGGTTTGAGAGAGCCCCTCGCTAAGGTTCTGTGCAGTTCTGAAAACCCCAAAATCTCACTCCTGGCTGGCCCCGCCCACTCCACCCCTCCCCTCCAGGAGTCCCCATGCAGTCCATTTTGGATGCCAGGTAAGTGTAGGACGCGCATGGAGGTTCAGGGAGGGTGAAAAATGGGCCTCCCGGAAGTTCGGGAAGGCCGGAAATGGGCTCTTTTCTGGCTTCCAGAGGGTCTCTGGAGCCCAGGGAGGCCGTTTTTGCCCTCCTGGGGACTCGAGCAAAATGCCCCCTGCCACCACGGTGCAGGAGGCCGACTAGGCCACGCCTACCATGGCCACCACCACTCAGCATCCAGGCAGAGGACCCTTTGCTAAACTTTTTGAAGGGGCCTCTTTCCCACACGCCAACACCCTTCACTGAGTCAGTGAAGGGTCCAAAGTATTACACGTGAAGCAGCTGACCCAGCAAGCATTAGAGCAGCAATTCTCAATCTTAACAACTTTTAGGTCAAGGGTCGGCAACCTTAAACACTCAAAGAGCCACAAAGGTCCTAACCGGAAGCCCACCATTCAATTCTGGAGCCGACTAGACTCTATGGCGGTTCCCCCAACCATAGAGTCTCCTCCTAGGGCAGCGTCCTTTTTCCTCTACCTATCCTAACCAAAAGCTCTATCAATTGTGGAGCCAACCGGCAACAGGGAGCCACAGCAGAGGGATGAAAGAGCCACATGCGGCTCCAGAGCCGCAGGTTGCTGGCTCCTGTTTTAGGTGGACTTCAACTCCCAGAATTCCCCAGCCACCCTGACCAAAGGCTGCCCAATCCAAGACACCCTTGAAAGGGTTATTGGCTCAGTAGAGGTACAGGTAGCCCTTGACGTGCAACCATTCGTTTAGTGACCATTCAAAGTTACAACACTGAAAAAAAGTGACTTATGACCGTTTTCACACTCACGACCATTGCAGCATTCCCCACGGTCACGTGATCAAAATTCAGATGCTTGGCAACCGGCTCGTGTTTATGACGGTTGAAGTGTCCCGGGGTCATGGGATCCCCTTTTGTGACCTTTTGACAAGCCAAATCAACGAGGGAATTAGATTCACTTAACAACCGTGTTATTAACTTAAGACCTGTAGTGATTCACTTAATGACTGTGGCAAGAAAAGTCATAAAATGGGGCAAAACTCACTTAACAACTGCCTTAACTACATTAATTTTGGGCTCAATTGTGGTTGTACGAATGTACAGTACTAACTGTATATTTCTTGTGTGAATTCATCCTGGGAAATTCCTTTTACCTACCGTACATCCTTTTCTACATTGGATTTATTTTCCTGATCATCACAAGTATCCACAGGGAGGTTAAAAAAAATAAAGTCTGCCATGATCATAGCCCTACCTACCTTTTTTCAAAATCCACGTATAACAAAAAAAAAGGACAGGGTTTCAGTTGTACACAACTATTTTTAATTTTTTTTAATGCACACATGCACACGAACACAGCCTCAATAATCTTGTTGCTAATATTCCTTTTCATTCCTTGCTCCGCCCTGAACTTACACCAGGAATCAAGGCAAAGACTGTCTGGTCTCCGAATTGCAGGATCAGCCCTGCCATATTAGGCAAAGGAAGGCAGCTATTGCTGGAAGCCAATCATCAAACCCGTAAAAACGCGAAAGTTAGAATATTTCAGACATGTGAGGTGACACCCAGAAAAATACGGCATGCTTCACTTAATCCTCCAGGGAGAGATTGAAGGCAAACGAGGTCCAGGCAGAAGAAGGGCATCATGGCTTCAAAATCTAAGGAGCTGGTTTGGACAAAACTCAGCAGCACTTTTCCGTGTGGCTGTTGATAAAAATACCGTGTTTCCACGAAAAGAAGACCTATCCCAAAAATAAGTCCTATCCTGGTTTTTAAGCGTGCACCTAATATAATCCCTACCCCCCAAAAAATAAGCCCTAGTGAAGATCATCATCAGCATGGAGGGGTGATGGTGGTTGTGGAGAGGCATGGCCAGCACACAAGGCAGCGAGTGCATGGAGAGAACCGGCCCAGCGGTAGCAGGGCTCCCACTCTCATCGGCCCCCAAACTCACCGCCCCCTGTACATGAAAAAAAAAAAAAGACATCCCCTAAAAATAAGCCCTGGTGCTTATTTTGGAGCCCCCCGCCCCCCCCCAAAAAAAATTTTTTTATAAGACCAGAACTTATTTTCGGAGAAACACGGTAGGATCGCCAACATGATCGCCAATGTCCGATGACGGATATGGCACAAGAAGAAGAATCTTCAGACATTTTCTGACAGTTCTTTTAAAAGACAAAACCAGATACCCAGCTTGGCCTCTGAATTAGCCTGCTTGGTTGAATGCGGCCGAGGGTACTTTTCCCATCACCAATAGAGGCGTGTCCTCGACTTACGATTGAGCCCAAAGTTTCTGTTGCCAAGTGAGACATTTTGTAAAGTGAGATTTGCCTCATTCTACAACTTTTCTTTGCCACAGTTGTTAAAAGTCAGTCACGTGGTTGTCAATTGAATTGGGCTTCCCCATTGACTTTGTCAAAAGGTTGCAAAAGGTGACCCCCGGGACACTGCAATCGTCATAAACATGAGCCAATTGTCATGTGTCTGAATTCTGATCACATGACCACAGGGATAGCGGTAATGGTTATATGTGTAAAAAACAGTCATCACTTTTTTCAGTGCCGTTGTAACTTCAAACGGCCACTAAATGAATTGTTGTAAGTGAAAGACTAGCTGCACTGAAGTAAGATCTAATTCCCCAGTCCAGAGGCAGCCTGGACATAGAATAAGCAAGAAATTCCCTCTTATTATCTGTTTCAGGAAGCGAAGTGTCTTGGTCCTGCTGCACCCCAAATTCTCTTACCCAGCAAGCTCGCATTTTCATCCTCTTCTGGGATGGCCTCCATGAGGAGCTGGATCTTCACAGACTCAGAGATGGAATTTTGTCCGTCTTAGCAGAAGTGGCTCTCTCTTTCTGCGCTGTCCGAAGCCTAGAAGGAAAATGAGAACGCCATGAAGTGAAACAGATCACTTTCTGCCCAATCCTGCTAGATCAGGGGTGTCACTGTGGGCCTTCTCAGGATTGTGTTTGACCTCGGTGGGCCTCATCAGGATTGTGTTTGA